CTCTTGTCGGTGTCGCCCCCTCTTTTTCCATCCTTCGACTGACCCTGGTCCTCCTGCTCCTCCCGCTCCTGCTGCTCCTGCTGCTGCTGCTGCTTATCCTCGTCCTCCTTCCTCCCTCCTGCTTCCTCCTTCCTCGCTCCTGCTTCCTCTTTCTCCTTCTTCTTCCTCCTTCCCATCCTCCTGCTTTTCCGCCACCCTGGTGTCCTCCAGTGTGCACGGCTCTCTTTCTTATTGAGCCTCCCACGATGGGGTCACTCGGGGGATCCAGGTCCGCTAGGATATCCGCCAGTTGATGGAGAATACATCAGCGCAATGGGAAGGGAATGAATGTGGGAGATGCAGGAAGCCAAATATGGCGCGCGCGCACCTAGCTTGCCTGTCCCCCGTCTCCCCCCTCCCTTTCCCCCTCCTCCGTCCCTCCCTCCTCCCTCTCCCCCCCCATCCCTGCGCGCCAGCTCGCGAGCCCCCGCGCGCGCAGCAGCGCGCGCAGGGGAGATGGGGATGAGGTTGAGGAGCAACAGAGGAGGGGGGAGGAGGGGGAGGGGGAGCAGGCGGAGGAGGGAGGAGGAGGAGGAGGAGGAGGAGGAGGGGAGGAGGGGGATGTTGAGAAAGGAGGGGGGATGACGAGAAGGAGTGCTTGTGATCAGAGTAAACCCAGGATGCATCAACGATTATACAATACACCCTCTCGCCCCAAGTCCCCCTCGTGTAAATCCCTACAAGGTTTTTTTCCTGCTGGGTAGGCCTGTCACTCAGGCGAGGCCCCGTTCAGTAAGATAATCATCCTCCAACTTTCAAGCTGGGAAAGACACATCAGTGAAATGATCTCAGTCCAGGAAGTCTCTAGCGATAGTCCCAAATTGTAAAGGACCTGCCCTATAGCCATATAAGGGTTACAATATTTCAGAGATGTGGTCAGAGGATATACGGAAAGGTCAAGCAAAAACTCATGATGAGAAGGAGTTGCCCTTTATCCGTGTAACTATTGCACACTTTGGAACTTCAGGATGCGAACTTGGAGGACGACTTAACTGAGAACCGCATTTTGAAAACGCGCCGGCCTCCATCTGTCTAAACGTTGTAGTATTTAAAAACCAATGCGCGCGGCGCTATGGCGAGAACCATATTTTGAAAATGACCGGTCATCCACATGCGTAAGCGTGGAAGTTTATCAAACGAATGTGCGCGGCGTTAACGCGAGGACCACATGTTTAAATCCACCAGCCCTCCATCTCTGTAACCGTTCGAAATTTTTCAACCGAATATGCGCGACGTTACGGCGAGAGCCACATTGTGAAAACCACAAGTCCCCCATGCGTGTGGCTGTTTGAGTTTTCAGCGTCAGGATCGTACATTGAAAGGAAGTCTGACGCGAAACGCCCGGCCCGGTCTACGGACACGTCTGGTGCGACAGGGCGAAGTTATGTCTAAGAAAGGGAGATTTTGGAGTCGCCTGGGGAAGTAATGTCTAAGGATTGTCCAATGCTACGCAAACAGTGACCAGCCCTATTCGCGAACATGCCGTGAATACGTGTGGGCCAAACTGTTTAAATTGTATCAGTACCCTTTCGGCTTCAAAGGTAGATGTCTGGGCCCTGTCGATCCGAGGGCGAGAGGGAGGAACGCTGACGCAGACTCCCTTGTGTCAAGTGCGCGATGTGCACACAATCTTCCGGCGCCAACTTAACGCATCAAGCAATATGGCATCAGTTGTGGAAGATTGTGGGTTTACAGTGTTCCTCCGACGATAGACTTTCGCCTGGAGTCAGATGTGGCCTTGGTGTGCAGGTGGTCGGATACACTAGACCACGCGGCCTGCACAGTCGAACCGTCATAGGCTATCTGTACTTTTGCGTCAGCGACGCCAGGCTTGCATCAGAGCGGCCACGGCGTCCGTACTGAGCGCTCGCCACTTTCCGCATCACGTGGATTCATGTCGACCCGAGCTGGGGCGCCCGCCTTAGATACGTAAGAGAGGGAGGGATGGGGGCGACGACGCCCCGCTGTGCACCCGCTGTGCCTCGTGGGCGAAAGAACATGTCCGAGAGGGAGGGAGGGGGCCACGACGACCCGCTGTGCACCCGCTGTGCCTCGTGGGCGGAAAAAATATGTCCGTATCCGCGGCCTCGCGGGCCGGGCCCCTGGGCCGCGACACCGCGGAGACGGGACTTTTTCTCGCGGATGCCCCGCGCGGAACGCCTCCGCGCGACCGCTCATCCGCGGGATCGTGCTTTGGAATTTTCGGAATCCAGACCGCTAGGGCGCGGATGCGGACGTGTTCGCCGCCCGTGAGTGCCGAGCGGGTTCAGCCCCGAGGACCACGGATATCACGCAGTGCCTCCTCCTCTCCTCCTCCTCCTCCTCCTCCTCCTCCTCCTCCAACGACGACGATGACGACGACGACAACGACCCCTGCCCACCTCCAGGCGGACCGGGAACGCCAGGCGGCGGACGCGTCGGCGGCCGCGCCCGGCGGCAGCGTCACCGAGTGGGCGGGGAGGACAGCCGCTTCCCTTCGCGAAGGGTTGGTCAGATCGTCGTCATCGTCGTCGTCGTCGTCGCCGCCGCCGCCGCCGGGGCCGTCGTCGTCCTGCTGTTCCGCCTCCTCCCCCTCGTCGTCCTCTTCCTTCCTGCTCCTCTTCCCGTCCCCCCCCCAGCCCCCACCTTTCCCCCTTTCCTTCCTTCTCCTCCTCATTCCGAATCCTTGGTGAACATTGTCATGTGAGGGGAAGGTTGCAACCATGTCGGAGACTTGACTTGATCATGTACTGTTGTAGTCGTTCGGGTTCAAGAATTACAAGTCGAGTTTGGTAGCGCGACACATGCCACGACCCAAGGATTTCCATCGACCTCTTGCATATCCTATCTGGTCAGCCATTGCGTTCCTCGGCCTTGTTCCGCTCTTCTGGGCCTGGCTGCAAGTTGTTGTTGGTTGGAGCGGCGGCGTCACCGAGTTTGTGGAGGCAGACGGCCAGAGGATGCTCTACGTCTACGGTTTCAACACCGACGGGGAATTATCACGGACCATTTTCGTTCAAACAAAAACTTTGTTCAACATTCTCGGCATGGCAGGGGCTGCTGGCAACGCAAGCTGTAGAGACAGCTCAACTTTTCTTCCAGAGTCATTCTCGATTGGCACACCGACCTGTTGGGTGACTAGAATCAAACGACAGCTACGCGCTGTTCTTGAAATCGTTCTTGGTTACAGACGGAGTTGATGTAGGTCCATTGGGGCCATGGGGTCTGTGGGCGTCTACGTGATTAAAATATTTATTCAGTTTGAGATGGGCCTCCGAAACAATACATACGTATATATATATATATATATATATATATATATATATATATATATATGCACATACTCTGACATCAGTGCAGGACAAATGGTATTCATCGAGGCGCCAACGCTCTTCGTGGAACAGGCCAATGAGGAGATGATGGCTGGACCCATTCAGATACGTGCCCAAGAGAGTGGAGCCAAGCTCCTGGTCCGACGTATCCTCGAGGTGTGCACCACCGACAGGGGTGATCTACAATGGGAAATACATACCGCATCATTCGAGCTCTTCCGCGGCAGCAGCAGGTTCGGCGACACCTGACTCTTTACGACTTAATTCTACCGGGCGCAGAATCTCATTGTGGCTTACAGATGAACGAAATTGTCAAAAACATATTTTCTTCTAACAAGTGCGCAGCTCACAGAGAGACGCCACCTCGATCTACGACGTCGAATTAATGGCGATTTTTCGCGAGATGATGATACCATAAGGCTGTGTAGCCGCATCTTCTGGCGGTCGCGACGTAGCGATTTCCGCGACTCTGCACGACATGGTGGATTTATCATATTTCTTGCGATAGCTCTTGGCATGACGAGTGCGGGAATTGAATGCTGATGTCTCCTGGCGAGTCGCAACCTATTGGGGATATCAGGGCTGGAGTGCAGCAGAACAAACACACGAACATCAATATCGTCAAGAGAAAGGAGAATGCGGTGGAAAAGGTGGAAGGAATCAGATGCGCAAGGAAGGTTGCACCAAGCGTGGATTCACACTGGGCTCCAGAGTTGACTGCCATCTCCCCAGTGTCGGATCTGGTCAGGGTCAAAGCCATCGAGCACCGATCGGAAACGGCAATGGCGGCAAGACTGGCAAAAGCAAAGGAACGTACTCAATTATCTTCGGCAAAGGCGGCGGGAGGGCAACTACCGGAAAAGGCAAAGGCAAGATCGCATCGAAAAGCTACAACCGGAAAGGTAAAGGAACGTGATTTCGATGCCGCAGCGGCGGGGCCTCTCTTCTCGAAGATGGCCCTGCTAGAGTGGATCAAGAATACCAGCGGGATAATCGTGGCGGCTACGGCTCTTAATGGTACGAGGGCGACGGAGTATGCGGCTACGATCAGCAGTCAACGGGGGGAACCTGGTATGAGCATGACGGCGGCGCTCCTGCATCCTACTCAGGCGCCAGCGGCGCAATAGCGGCGTTCGAAACAAACGACTCCTGGGGCCCATCGGGACGAGCAGCAGCGAGCAGACGCCATCGTAATCATCCAGCGGTCAGCAATGGCCCGATCTCGTGCTTCCTGATTATTTCTCTCACCACCTGGAAGCTCAGAAGCAGCCGCTCACCCAGCATTGAGTGCATCAGTTCCATCAGGTCAGGCTTCGCGGCTGCTCCCCGAGGTCTACTTTGGAAGCTCCCTGGCAAGGCGGCGGCGGATGCAGGAGATCGGCGTTGAAGGCCCAGGAGACTTGGCATCTCAAAGCCCACATTCGCAACAGCGGGGGCGCGCTCTACGAGAGGTGACAGTCTTCTGTCAATGACAGCTTTTGTCGAAGCTCCGCAGTTTGAGGTCTTTGCGTCTCGCGAGCAAGTGATGATGCGGGTGAATTGCGCTGCTCCGAACTGACAGGGGCCGAAGTTGCGCTCGGCTCCAATTTCGAACTGTCAGAACTTCCACGTGGTTCGCGGACGCCCCGTGCGTGGGATGCTCGTCGACGCGGGCGCGGCTAAGGCGATCGTGGGCACGGGCGCCATGAAGGGCCACGCTGCGCACATTCTCTCCAAGTATGGCAGGGTGATCCATCTCAGGTCATCGGGCCGTATGTTCGTTGGCGTTGGCGGCAGGCAGGACGCGTGCGCAGGCTTGGCAGCAACGCCTCTTGGCACTTCACTTCCCAGCATCGCTGAAGTCACCGTCGACCTGGATCTGCTGGGCGGTCAGCGTGCCAGGTGTCCTGGACTACCTCCTTCAAGTATCTTGCTTCAACTTCGGGCTTCCTGTGTTGCGGGGTGCTGCGTTGGGGGTGGCGGTATTTAGATGGGCAGTATCTTGGAGTCAGGAAATACCTTTCAGGTGAACGCCGCGCGTGGGGCATTATTTATCGACTTGTATTGGACATATTCTCGCGGGCGCCTGCTCTCGACTAACAGTTCCGAGAAGGGCAACTGGGCGGGGCAGAACAGTCTGAAGCAGACAGTTGCGCGGTGCTTCAATGGGGTGCTGCGTGCGTCGACAGGTGATCGCCGCCAGAGCAAGCGGAAAAGGGTCTTCAGGCATGGGCGCTGGCTCCTTGGCGCTGGTCTCGATGGCGTCAGGCCGTGAGGGTGAAAGTGGGCTTGGGAACTCATCCTCAGGGCCGTGCGAGATAAATCTAGCACGGCGGCTTCTACAAATCCTGGATGGCACTTCCTGCGCGCGCGCGGAGGATATGTGGCCTCGCCGTGGGAAAGCGACGCGCAGGAAAGGTGCATCCAAGTACTATTTGAGCGTGCCCGAGGAGTTCTACAGTGGTAGCTCGCTACCGGATGTGGCGCCCGCAAACTCTCTGAGGTGGCTTGGCCAGGTCTCATCGTCCAGGAAGACTTATGAGCAAGGGTGCGTGCTGGATACGCATGAACGCTGTTCGGGGTCAGCCGCGTTTTCCTTGGCTGCCCTCCGTCTTCGATTGGCTGTCGGCCTTCCAGTGGATCGCGCGTGCCGGGGGTGCGCTGGCCTGGCGGGCCGCCGACCTATCCTGGGCGAGGCGAATGCAGAGCTCGACGTCTCAGCCCAATTTTCTCTGCGAGGTGCCCGCCTCGGTCAAAGGCGGGCGTCGTGTCTGTCTGGGGCGGGGGCCCGAGCGCGAGCGCAACGGGGAGACCGACCGGGGCTCTAGTGGATCATTCATCGTTGCGCATAGGTCCGGGGGTCCCAAGATGGGAAAGCTTTCCCCTTGGAGACGCCCCGTGTTTCGCAGTTGCCGTCCGAAAACCCATGCGCGTGCATTCGCGAGGGCAAGAAGACAGTTTCGACAGAACTGGATCAGCGTCAACACGGGGTCGCATGCATCGCCATCAGAGGCCTGCCTAACAAGCAGACGACGGTTTTGGATTGCGCTGGCATCGAGGTCGGGCAGGCCCCCCAGCCTGGATGCACGGGGGCACATGTCCATGTCGCGGAGAATTTCCCGGGGGGAAATCCGGGCCAAATGTTTGGCGGGCGTCAGTGGCAGCAGTCGATCCACGGACTCTTTGCCTTTCGTTGCAAACGTGTGGTGTTTAGTTCGCGATTCAGATGGCGCTTGGACAGCGGTGGTTTTGCGAGCGAGCGATCGATGTGAACGTGGGGCCCGATGTCCTGGCGCATGCGCGAGGGTCGCGCCAGTTCGCGCTCGAGCAGGGGGCTGCGGGTTCATGGGTGCTCTAGCGCCAGCGCGGGCTATCTTGGGAGCGCCTTCTCTAGCGCCTGCGCCCGCTCAGGCTCGAGGTTCAGGTCCTTTTGCCGCCGGAGTGGCCAATCTCTGGCATGCCTATCCCCCGCCGACCAGAGCGGCGTCAGCGCCGGCGACGGGTGATCCCGAGGCGTCCAGCGGCAGCACCTCTGCAACAGCATCGACGCCAACGTCAACGCCGGCATCGGACCACATGCCTCCCGCGCCCAATGCGGCGCCGCCCGCGGCGCCCGCTGCGCCGATCGACGAGGGGCCGGTCGTGGGCGGGCCAGCAGTCGCCGACCTTCCCGACATCGGGTTACTCAGGCGACAGCTCGAGTGTCTCAATGTCCAATCGGAGAATGCTCAGTAGCTGCTGGTGGGTTTGCGCTGCAAGATTGGGCGCCTCCTGGCCGGCGAGGTGGCCGTCTTTCTTGGGCGCGGCAAGTTTGCGTGTGGTGAGACATCAACCGTTTGCGGTAGCAAGGTGCAGGATCTGTGCTGGATGGAGATGTGGCTGGACCAAACCTGAGTCGGCTGGAGTCATCTTGGCGACGCACTCCAAGCATTGAGTGCAGACGGATATCTTTTTGGCGATTTGGGGCTGACTGCGCGTCATATTTGTGGATGGAGCTATTCGCTGGGCATGTTGCGATCGCCTCGTCGCGCAGGATTCCGACGACTGGCGCCAAGTTTGGGCGCGCTATTTTGGGTCACAGAACGGCTTGATTTCGGCGTCGCTTGATCGGTCTCGGATTAGAGTCAGAGATCATTCTCGAGAGAACCAGCGGCATTTCCGCGGCAAGAAG